GAGAGTTTTATTTCAGATTGGTTACATGTTTTTATACACTTGAAGGGAGGTTTGTTCCCTTGTTGTAATTCGTTGGAAGTTTTCATTCCTTCGTGTGAAGTCTTAGAGTGCGGTATCTCCGAGCAAAAGGCATTGAGGCTCGTGTGACTCGAGTTCTCAAGTTATATCGGTTTGTTAAGCACCTTTAAGCTTAACGGAGTTAGTGTAAATCGAGAGAGACTCTCGGGAGGCTGGACGTAATCACAAGTTGTGGTGAACCAGGGTAAAATACGGTTAATCCTTTCTTACGCTCTTTACTTTACCTTCCTCGTTTTAAATTCCTGCAATTTTGTTTTAAACGCTCTCACCCCCCGTCCTCTGGCGTTGGGACTTTATTCTAACATTTATAAACATAAAGTTCATTGCAACAATACCTCCAACGACAAATATCAATTGTGCAACTCTTATCCCTTTACCACCGATGTCTAGATTTAATACAAGATATGAGAAGTGTAACCTTGTTAAAGTCAAATCTTTGGTCAACTGATTTTCCGATGGACTTGTGGGATTCAGATCACATTGATATCACATAATATTGATTATTTGGGCATGCCATGCATTTCCCAAGTCACATCAAGCAGTGGGCCTGAAGGCATTACACTTCAACACAATGGAAGGGATGAATTATTTCTACAACATTCACGTCTTTGCATATGCTTAAATACATACCCAAAACATAATTGTACGTTAAATTAAGATATCACAATATCCACGGCCTATGAGACACAACTATCTTGTCTCACACGTATTAGTCTTAATATATTATGACGTCCGTATTATCATAATATTCGACTAAGGATATTTTAGACATAGCCTCTTAAATTTAACAACCTCATAATCAGAACATCGTAGTTCTAATCTATGCTACAAGAGAACTAAGTCTATGGGCTAAAGCTATGTTTAAATACACGAGATGCATAAACAATCTTTAGGGCCTTTTTTTCTTAATAATTATTCAAATACATAACTATAGATTGGCCTCTAGGGCTCACATATTCAACATGTTCTGACCTTGCATACAATGTAAGTTCGTGGGGAGCGCAGCGGAAATCACCAATTAAGAACAACGCAAACAAATTAATCCACTATGCTACAGAGAAGATGCTGCAGCACTGTCACAGTAACAGATGACTGACAGAGGGCTATAACACTTTCTCTGTCACAAGCACACACGTAGAAAAAAAAGTAAAAATAGCAAGCCAGACACCAAAATTGTTCACACAGTTCGGAGCAAATTCTCCTACGTCTGCAAGGCCCACGTCCGTGTAATAGCCCTTCCGCTAAATCACCGTCAGTGGCGGATCCAGGAATCTAAGTTGTTGGGGGCGCAATCACCAAAATAACACGGGGGTCGGGGCAGCGCCCCAGGAGATTTTTTATATATGTGCAATTTAAAACAGTAAAAAAAATAAATTTAATTTCTCATCATTATTCAAATAGTATTTGAAAAAGTCTAACAAAATATAATTTATGGACTACATTATTACGTAGTTTAATAGTAATATAATTTTAATCTTTCATTTTAGATTTTATTTTTAACATTTTTAAATATTTTACTCTATTATGATATTCTTTTAATACTTAAACTTTTCGCATTTCACATTTTTTTTACTTAACAGTTAACACTTTTAATTGGGGTCCCTAATATTTTTAATTGGGGTCATAAACTATATAAGTGTAAATTTTATTTTACTTTAAACAAGTAGTAGGGGCATGAGACCCCAACTACTCTAATGTACATCCGCCACTGATCACCGTAAGAATTAAACAATCAATCACAACAGAACCTTCTAATGTATTGATTTGTCTACTTACGAATGACTTGACGACAAACTCAGTTTGCGTCTATCTCCACGGCTTGTCACACCTTCTCAAAGATATTCTTCAAGGACGTAGATTCCAATACACCTTCAAATAAAGATTCTCCTTGATCTACAAATATATGCACGCTGATCCGAAGCTCATAAATCGATATTGAACCGTTGGAATTCAATCTCCACCGTTCAGTTTGAAGATCCACTAGTCCTTAGACTCATCCAAAAATTTCAGCACCATCGGAAAAGATTTGGTTCTCCGATCATCAACAAAACCAGTGCTGCATTTTCTGTAAAAAATTAAAACAGCGACAGTATGTAGATTGTAACTTTCATAACTAAAGATCCGTAACTCCGATTGTCTTGAAAATTGGACACGTTGAAGCTCTATGTGTTGGGAACACTATCTAAAAATTTCAGAAAAATCCAACAGTCGGATATCCGACGATGATCAAATCAGTGCGGGCTGTTCAGAAATTTTGCACTATCAAACTATGCACCTTGTTTTTCTTTTTTCTGTTTTGCTTCACTTGTTTAGAATTTTTCCACCTCAAAACTCGAAGGGAGGGAGAAGATAATATATAGAGCATATTAACCTTGTTAGAGTGTGCTTAGGAGTCTCAACCATGTCTTCCTTCTCAAAACAGTAAACCAAGTAGGATTAGACTTCTTTCTTCAAGTTCTTCCCTCTTTCTCTTTCTTCACATGCTAGAACTCTAAGTCCAAATAAAGTATCTAAAACAATTCTAGCTAAATTTATTCGTTTGTCAAAAAATTAATGCCAACACAATATGAAATTAACATACAATAGGATACATTATTTTTGTATGGCTGGATGTTTTTCTTTTTTTATCATTGTACTTTATTTGTTACTTCTAACATTGAAACAACGCAAAAATAACTCTCCTCCAAGTTGATGACAAGATCAAAGAACAAAGCAAATGCTACAATACCTACTAAGAATCATCAAAAGTTTACAAAATTACAATTATATCCTTAGCAATACTTTTTCGACACCCACAATCATTTCCCTCCATTTACAATATATGCCCTCTCTCTCCAAATTAAACTCTCTCAGTTTTTAAATGATCAAAAATTAGTCTAATTTTATATTTATTTGTACCTCTGGAAAGGAAAATTTATTAAAAATACTCTAACTTTTTCGCGCTCTTTAAAGAAATAATCTCATTTTTCACTGTCACCGAAAATAATCTCCCCTTTCTGCAAGCGTGCGAGTTTTGGATCGTCGTTAAAATAGAAATGACCAATTAAAAGAATTCTAGAAAATGTCTATTTTTTTGAAAATAAATGAAAGGTGTGAATATTTTATGCAAGTTCTCTTTTTTTCATTTTATTAATTTATAGCATTAAATTTAAAAGTATTTTTTAAAAAATATGTTTACTATTGTAAATAAAGTACTTTATTCATCATAAAACGGGGTATTTATTTAGACACGGGAGGAGGTAAAGTCTAGGTTTTTAAGGATACAAATATTATAAATAATATGAGTAATATATCTGCCATTTTTAACACTCCCCTTAGATATATCATTGTTCATTATACACTAACAACATTATGCTACTAGGAAATATTGGCTAGGCTCTTCAGGACCTGTATTAACTGATACTGTACGATCAGCTATGTTGCCTCATTAAATACCTTACTAAAAAACCTAGTGGGACAAAACTTAGTTAAGGGAAAAAAAGTAAAGCGCGTATAATGTTTTCCCTCAAAATAGAAATTATAGTCCCCCTCAAACTAATGTATCTCTTTGAGCTTGCGAAGTCCAATCTTCTTTATGAGTTGCTCGAAACTGTGCCTAGGTAGAGATTTGGTGAATAAGTCTTCCAAACTGTGCCTAGGTGTGGATCTGATAGATACCCAGCATCAGCATACCCTACAAGTTGGGACTTTTCATCTTTCTGGTAAAAGAGACCTAAGTCTCGTGCCCCACAAATATATCGAAATACTTGCTTTATCCCATTCCAATGTCTACGTGTTGGGTTGGAACTGAATCTTGCTAATAGATATACTGAGAATGCAATGTCAGGCCTTGTATTATTCGCAATATACATGAGTGCACCGATCATGCTTAAATATGGTACTTCTGGACCAAGTACTTCTTCACCCTGTTCCTTGGGGCGATAAGGATCTTTATTTATATGTAAGGATCGGACAACCATGGCTATGCCCAACGGATGTGCTTTGTCTATATTTAAATGTACTAACATCTTGTGGATGTAGTTTGGCCGATGGAGAATATGCCATTTTGCAAATATTTGAATTCCAAACCAAGACATAATTTTGTTGTGCAAGGTCTTTCATCTCAAATTCTCTCTTAAAGAGTTCATCAGTTTTCTCTATCTCTTCTGGAGATCCAATGATGTTTATATGATCAACATAAACTGCTATGATAGTGAATTTAGAGAGTGATCTTTTTATAAAAACGCATGGGCTAATTACATCAAATTTAAAACCACGCTATGCAAGACATTCACTAAGTCGATTAAATTTTAAAAAAAATTAAAAATATGTTTATAAATATTATTAAAAAAATCTTAGTGTTTTTCTAATAATCCATAAGCTAATAATAATTGAATAATAAATTATTATACACAATGGAGTTAATTTTTTAGTATTACTTTATAACTCACTAAATTTTTTGTAAGTTGAAATTTTAAAATTCACACTTGCACATGTACTTGCACGCGTAGAATTCACTACATGATAAATATTATATATAAAAAAAGCAGTAAAGAGAAAATGGTTTTACGTGGAGAAAAATTGAGTGAAAATCATTAACCTTTTAACTCTTTTTGCGAGACATCATGTCAATGAGAGACTTATTAAATATCAAAGAGATGATAGCCTAGAGCCACTGATAGAGCGTGATAGTAGAGTAGAAAAGTCTTGAGGGAGTATGAGAGCTAATAGTTGATAAGCCCATTTTAGAGGTACTTATTTCTCCATATCGAAGTTAAATTATTGCTTAATTTTGAATAAACAAGAGCAAGTGTTCTTCATTTTTTATTTAGTTATTTAATGACTGAAAGAGAGAAAGGCATACAGGATTTTACTAAAAATTACTACGATATTTAATGACAAGAACTTTTGGATCCGGCTGCTTTCATCCCAGATACAAATATAGAACTAATACCATATTATTTTCTCGAGTTCCAACTAGCATCATCACAGTGTGATTCACACATCCAGAGATTAGATATGATTTGCCCAAAAAATAAACATGGGAAGTTTGGATTTCACTGGAGGGTGCAAACACGCTATTGGATCATGCAAAAAAGGGGGAGGGGTGTATGCCTCAATCCCTCTAATTGTTCCACATACGAAAGGATGTCCAAATAATTGTGCAAACTACATTACATAAGGTGATATCTTCTTGAGGCAAGTATCATCCATGGTACGACCCATAAAACACCGGCATGCGCACTCA